ATTAGTATGGCTGGATTGAGTTATCTGAGATAATTGCGCGTTCATGGGTTGGTTTAAAAGGGGCTATGTATCGATACTCGAAACCACGATCAGCAATGCAGCGATTGGCTGGCGGCAAGACAGCAACGTAATGACATCATATAATTAAAAAAGACACCTGACGAAAAACTTTTATAAGGAAACAGCCAAGCGAACAAAACTACATAAATGGTATAATAGATAAATGAAATGTGAAATGTTTTTATTTAAATTTTTTTACACGATTCACAATTTCTAGTATTTGTACAGGCTTTACATTTTTATTTCAATGTTGTAATTAGCAATTGACTTAATTTTATCTTTGAAGCAGATTTGTTACGTGACAGCATTAAAGTTTCTTAAGGGTCAAGATCATGTTATCTGCATCTCCTGCACTCCATTAAGCCACTCCCATAATATCCGTCAACACTCAAATTAATGCACGACTCTACATTATCTGTATAGCATGTGTGTAAGACTCGAATACAATTATGAAGTAATTATTTTATCACGAATAAATAGTAGTAGTAGTACAATAACAACCAGCAAACAAACAAACAAACAAGTTATATTACACAATTTTTTACATTAACATATGATAAAAACCTTTTTCTGGCAAAATTATACTAAACTCTTTAAGTGAGTTTACTTCATAAAAGAGTTTTCTACATGCATTAAAAGCTGGACAATCCAATAAAATACGTTTATCATGAATAAATATTTTAATGAGTAAAACTGGCTGTGTCTACAGTATTATAGACTACACAACATTATTATATTATTTTTCAATGAAGTTTTACATTATTATTATTTTAAATTACTGTCCCCGGATCAGTAGGGTACTCTTCTAATAAAGTAGCAGTGGCTGGGACAGATTTTAAGTATCAATTCTGCTTAAAAAGATGCGATCTAATCCTGTTTACATGAAATAAGCTGCTCCGGAGCAGGTTTAAGCTTACGGAGCTGTTGCTATGACAGCAACTCCGGGATGAGCTTCGAAGAACCAAACAATCCAAGATCACGCCAAATCATCAACAATCAAATCCAGCTAACTGAGTTAGCGATGCACAAAGAACGAACCCTAGGACTTTGAAACGTGCAGCGCTCATGTTGTTTATTTAATGAAATCACAGCCTTTTGAAGTTTAATCGTCACATTAAGCCATATCGCAATTCTTGTCTTACCGTCTCCAAATTTAATACCTCTTGAAATCATAGTTGAGACTTTCTTGTACAATTTAAGACTCTTTATGGCCCTAAATTTGATGCAACTAAATTTCAGACTTTTTAAGGACCCACTCTGGTCCACCGGACTAGTGATGGGCAAACAAAGCCTCGTGAAGCACTGAGACTTTCCTCTGTTTCGGGAAACGATTTAAAGCTTTGAGAGTGTCGAAAACAGCGCTATCTGGTGGTTAGTAAAAAAATAATTCCGATCTGTCGGACAAAGCAGCCACCACACATTCCATAGATGTTATGTGCACAAATAAAATCATAACTGTGTGTGTGTTTGTTGAATTTCTGTCTCTGATAAATTAATTTACCCATTAAACTGTGGCATTTATTGCCAGTACAAATATGATGTAGTAGAAGAAAAATGTACACGTATGTGACCCTGGAGCACAAAACCAGTCTTAAGTCGCTGGGGTATATTTGTAGCAATAGCCAACAATACATTGTATGGGTCAAAATTATAGATTTTTCATTAATGCCAAAAATCATTAGTATATTAAGATCATGTTCCATGAAGATATTTTGTAAATTTCCTACCATAAATATATCAAAACTTAATTTTTGATTAGTAATATGCATTGCTAAGAACTTCATTTGAACAACTTTAAAGGCGATTTTCTCAATATTTAGATTTTTTTGCACCCTCAGATTCCAGATTTTCAAATAGTTGTATCTCAACCAAATATTGTCCGATCCTAACAAACCATACATCAATGGAAAGCTTATTATTCAGCTTTCAGATCATCTCGATTTCGAAAAATTGACCCACATGACTAAATGTTAATGTTTTGTGGTCCAGGATCACACATATGGCAAATATTTAATTTTCCTGAAATAATAAATATTCTTCATATTACTTGTATGACTGGGTACTTAATGTAATTGAATAAGTCTGAATGAAAACTTACTAGTAAAGATCTGGTGGTTCGAACATTCCGACACGCAAAGTGAATCTCTCCCGTGATTGGACAGAAAGTGAGGCTTCGTTTGTCATTGGTCACGTGATTTCTATGTTAACAATACAAGCCTCGAATCAAGGCTTCATCTGGCACGCCCCTTTATTCTGAAACAAGCTCCGATGCTTCGGTTCAAATGCACACGTGTTCCTCACTACCTGATCGAGGATGTAGTTCCTCCTCTTGGCTGCAGCTCTTCTGATCAGCTGACTGACGCACTGAGTGGCCTGCTGCAGCATCAGCTCTCTGTGATTGGCTCCAGGAGGCTCCTAAAGGACAGGAAGATACAGAAAATAGATCCACGCTCAGTGAGTAACAATGGAAATGCTCGAGTAGGAATTAAGATTTTACTAATTTCTGCGACTCTCCCAGACCTGGAAATCATATTTGCAAGTTTTTCAGGATTGTGGGAACTCTACTAGTCAGTGTTGTTATTGTTAACTAAAACTACTAAAAATAATGAAAATGATTAAATAATGCGGAGTAGTAGTAGTAGTTATTTATTGCCATATCAGCATTTAATGTTATCTTCATGGTAAAAACTGAGTTGCGAAATAATGCAGAAATAAAATAAAAGATATATAAATATGAGCCTTGGCAACTAATATAAATATTTTGAAAGTACTAACATTACTTAAACTGAAATATATAAATTAAAACAAATAAATAAATATACATAAACTCTTCTAAAAAAATAAAGTTTTAATGTACTAAAAGTGAAACTAATAAATTAAAACTATATATATATATATGTTTTATGCCAAAAGCATATAAAAATAAAGCTTAAACAGAAAATATAAAAAGTACTATAAAGATTTTATATTATACTATATTAGTATAACAAGAAATAAACATACCTAATAATAAATAATAATAATAAGAAGAAGAAACTATAATAACGGTGTATAAATATGCTAAAATAACACTGGCACTAGTCTGGAACTCATCTTAATGGTAAAGGCCCATTTACAGCATGATAAATATTCATCACAAAAAAAAGTGATGCAATAAACATTTGAATGTGAATCAACATTCTCATGCCATCAATGCAATTTATTTCTTTTTTTTTTGTTCTAATCACTTTTTCAACACGCTTTGATGAAAAATGGACAACCAATAAGATTTGTGCTTTTGGTCACATGACCAGAGCTGCTGCGGTTCAGTTTGACAAAAAAAAAAAAAAGACATAAATCTATAACCTGGTGGCATGTGCGGACTAAACTGTTTTGCCAAGTGAAAGTGTGTAAACAAGACGAATCCCAAAGTGAATGCGGCTGCTGTGTTTGGTGTTGACAGCCTTCTGATAAACTCCACATCGACTACAACCATTTCAATAAGATGGAGCTGCTGTGGAAAGGAATTGCAGATCAAATGGCAGTTGACAGAGTTATTTTGTTTTCTGTATTTCTTTTCTATAAGCGCCATCGTGGCAGGGAATGCATTAGAATTTTCATTCAGCCCATCTGTCTTTTTCCACATTGATATGAACAAATTATAACCAGACACTGTGTCTATGTGATTTCAGCTTCACGCAATAATCTTGATGGATTTTCTCACCCTCATGCAGTTCAAGACGGAGTTTGTACTCAGAAGATTGTACCGTTTCCTTGGGTTCTGGAGCATGTGAGCCTGAGCCCAGTGGGTTTTACCAGAACCCGGCAAACCAACCATCATCAACACCTGAGAGATGCAGAAGACGATCGTGAGAGACCGCTTACAGCTTCACAGGAACAATACTCATCTGATGTTTATTTCTGTTAGGCTTGCTTTCCTACCTCACAGTCACTTTTGGATGCTGTCGGCAAAAGCGCACGAGTCCTTTGAGCGTGAGGAAGCGTGAGCAGCGTGCAGAAACCAGCGGGAAAAGGATGCCAGGGAGCTTCTGGGTCGAGATTTACAGAAACTGAGCAGTTTTTGCAAAGCACGTGTGGAAAGAGGTCTTGACCTCCGAGAGTGGAAGAGTTCAGGTGAAACGCCACTCCAAGAGAGCGTCCGTTCTTGTGAAATGAGAGCGTCGCCTCTCCTGTCTCGCTGATGAACTGGATAAGGAATAGATATGAAGCGAGAATGAACCTGAATTGAATTAGAGAAATAGTTCACCCAAAAAAATGAACATTTGCTGAAAATGCGCTCACCCTCAGGCCATACAAGATTTAGATGAGTTTGTTTCTTCGTCATCAGATTTGGAGAAATGTAAACTTGCATTATTCGCTCACCAGTGGATGCTCTGCAGTGAATGGGTGCCGTCAGAATGAGAGCTGATAAAAACATCACAATAATCCACACCACTCCAGTCCATCAGTTAACGTCTTGAGAAGCCAAAATAAACAAATCCATCATCAACATGTTTTTAAATTCAAACCGTTGCTAATTGCTAAAAATATGATTTGAAGTCCTCTATCCGTAATAACACTTCCTCCAGTGAAAAACTCATCTGGTGTGAATCAGGAGAGGAATCTGCACAGATCAAGCAGCGTTTAAACAGCTCTAAACAAACATGTGGGTGGATTTTGATGTGAGAGACAACAGGAGATGGACTTTTTCAATGGAGGAAGCGTTATTATGGATTATGGACTCATATTTTGACCAGAAGTGAAAGTATAAAGTTAAAATGCCTAAATGATTGATTTGTTTCATATAAACCCATTTTCACTTCACAAGACGTTAACTGATGGACTGGAGTGGTGTGGATTACTTGTG